GGGGGAGGGGGGCGGTTGGCAGGAGCTGTGGTAAAACGCTTTGGGAAGGGGGAGGCGATGTTAACGCTGTGAGGTCCAAAGCCTAAGGAAGAAAACTTGGCTGCTCGCTCCCCTGCCGAGGGGCGTCGGGTGTAAGTCCCCTGCTGAAGGCGCCTTCTTGCCTCCTAGGGAGAAAATGTGCTGTTTGTGGTGACCAATTTCATTGCTACGGTAAAGCAGGCCCAGGGCGCCTGTCCTGAGGTAAGTGAGCAGCCCCGCTCCTCAGCCCAGCGCCGTGCTGGGCTTGGGTTTACACCGCCGGTCCGTGCCGCTGCTCCGCAGCTGTGCGGGAGCTCGGAAACACCCAGCGCAAGGCCAGGCGGAAGGGAAGAATGGATTTTTACTGCAAACAAAACTGGTTCCCCTCATCCTCATTGCTCCATAGGTCTTGCTTGCTCTGTCATACCTGCATGAACCAAGACGTGCATCCAAGCAGTCTGGCCAGAATCACTTCTGGTGACCTGAGGGACAGGGGACGCACTCTGTTGGGGCCTTGCCAGCTCCCTGGGCTTTGTGGGGGGTGGTGACGCTGTATGATCTTTACAGGCTTTCCCCTGCCTTTGGACAAGGGCTGCTGGGGAGGCTGGGCTGTGTTGCCCTGTTGCTATTCCATCTCCGCACTGCGGCTGGCCTCAGCACTGCTGCCCCCAGCTAATACCTCTGCTGCCTGTGTTCCTCCTTGGGTCTCGCACGTACTTTTGGTTTCTTGATTTGCTGCTCTATTTTCTTACCTCTGTTCTGCCACTTTTCCTGATGCTTTTACACCCCCTCTGTGGATACCTGTGTCATGTTTCTTTTATAACTCTCTGCTGCAGGACTAGTATCTCCTCTGTCATAGTGGCCTGTTTTTAGGAGGAACGGAGCACGAGGTCTAGGTGGCTTCCCAGTCAGCCAACACTTAGTGGTTCTCCAGGAGAAATCTTCCCATTAAGGCTGGATTCTGGCCAGTGCCTCAGCTGAACTCTCCCAAGCTGGATGCTGCTTGGCAGGCAGGAGTAAATGTCTTTTAAGTGAAGCCACTGCTGGCACCTTGTGCCTGAGCCAAGCACTGTTTGTCCTAATGGTCCGGTCCCTTTGCCTTTTGCTGTGCCCAGCCTGCTCCTGCTTCCCAGCTCGCCGTGTGCTGCGGACTGCTGGGCTGGGCTGCTCTCCAAGCACAGCCTACCAGCTGCAGGAGAGGAGGAGCAACCCTGGGACTAATGATCCCTCTTTAAAATGTTGAGAACTCCTAAAGTACTGGTAGCTGCAGGAATGTCCCCAGGGGAAGGTAGAGCATTTCGGGGCTCTCTCACAGGTGGTCACAGGCAGCTCTGGATGCTTCTTTTTGCAGTGTGCAAGCCAATGATGCAGAGAGAGCAGAGTATTTCATCCCCTTGCAGTGCTGTGGTGTCTCTGGGTGCCTGTCACAGCCTTCACCCCCTGCTGCTCTTCAGTAATTTCTCTGTTCTGGGCTTTGGGGCTGTAGCTGACTTCTGTGTTTGGAAAGCTAAGTATTCTGTGCTGGCAGACCAGGGAAAAGTCTGGCTGGGGCTGGCGGCAGCACCCGAACACAGATGGGTGCAGCTGATGCCTGCATTGAGCTCAGATCCATGACTTGTCTCTTTGGGAGACCTTTCAGTATTGATCTCAAACACTCAGTGCTTGGGAGCCCTGTGCCGCTATTTCCAAGGTGCTCTGCAGGTTAATGGAGATGCTTGAAATGGACTTTGAGCCAGAAGGCATTCATCAGGCAGTGCATCTGCTCTGTCTGGGTACAAGCTCTGGGGATGAGGGGCCATTTCACTTAAATTGTGGTCACATCCAGCTGTACTCAGCTCTTAGAGGCCCAGGTGCTGCTGATGGATCTGCATGTGAGCAGCACTGGTCCAAGCTCCCAGCCCCAGGCAGCACAGGACTGGGTCCTAAGGGGGTGGTGGTGGGGTTAGGTTTTGGAAGAAGCCTCATCCTTCTTTGCTTACATATGATGCTACTGGTAGTTGGCTCTCCAAGAACGTTTGCTTTGCTTCCTGGCCCCTGGTACACGGCTGCATGGCTGTCGAGGGCTGGGAATCTGCAACTCCAAGCAGCATCTGAGCTCCGCTGTGAGTGCCTTGGGGGATGTCTTCTAAAAACGTGCAGTAGTTCACCTACTCATCAAGAAACCTGTTCTAAATGCCGGTGTGCTCATGTTCCTGTCCCGTCCCAAACCTGCAATTCCTGGGACGGTTCCTAGAAAAATTTGTTACTCCTAATTTTCCCAAGCTTTTAGACCCTTACACAACTGTGATGCAGCAATGGTTTAGGAAGCTCTAGGAGCACAGATCCAGCACCTGTGAGGGCTTTTAACTGAGCCTAGATCGCTTTGCTTCTCTCACACTACACTTGTGGCACATGTAAGCTGCTTTGAACCATGTCTGTGGAGAATGATGGCACCAACAGTTTTTTTTGTTTTTTTTACAAGGCTTGTTTCCACTAAAAGGTGATGGGGAGGTTGAAACCTTCTTGGCCAGGTTTTAGGTTTTCTGTAATGCCCTCACAGGCTTCTATACCTGAATTTCTTCCAAGCTTTGCAGCTTGCATGCCCTGAACACCCAGAAATGTCTGTCTGCCGAGTGGCACTTGGTCTGTGTCTTGTTTCCTGGACTTGGGAAGGGACAGATACGCTCATCTGCAAATGTCTGTTATCTGGGTCCTTTTGGAGGCTGAATCCTTGACACCTGATTTGGATCCAGGATGACAAAGTACTCTCATAAGTGCTTATGACAGCACTGCAGGTGGGTGCTGCATGCTAGGAGTGAACCATCACCGGGGCTGAGGGGGATGAATCCAGTAGCTGCCCTTCTCCAGCCTTTGGGCAGAACTCCCTGGTCCCTCTGGTAGTCCTGTGGGCTTGCCCTTAGATAACCCTCCACCTTGCTCCCAGGCCACCTCCCTGGATTCTCCAGCCCGACGATTGCTGTGAATCGCACGTTCATGTGAGCAGCTGTGCTTGCAGCGGCTGGCACACAGCAATGGGCCCCTGTGATGACCGGTGGTCCTGCTCCAGCTGCATAACGTGCACTCAGAACAGAGCCCCTTGCCCAGGAAAACAGAAACAGAGTTTAATCAGAAGACAGGAGACTGGCAGGGCACGGCCAGGCCAGCGTGCTGACCAGCAGCTTCTAACATGCAACCAGTCCTTTGCATCCTTTTATCCCTCTGTTTTCCAATGTTTGTTCCTTCTCAGATCACCTAGATCCCTCCTTTTCCACACTTTTTCTTCCTCCCCTAAATATCCCATCCCCCAAACGTCCTGTGCAATCCCAAAATGGTCTTCTCCTGCATCCCATAATGATTCCTATACCCCTAGGCAGTGAGCCCCCCCACCCAGCCTGAAGGTGCTTCAGAGAGCTGTTCCTCTCAGCTCATTATGGTGGGTTTCACACATGGAACAAGGGGCTGAGGCTGTCCTGGGAGGGCCTGGGCAGGGCCCCCCCCCTTCTGACTCCGTAATAGGGGTTCCCCACCTGCCTTTGGGCTTCTGTGCCCCCCTGGGCTTGGGGAGGTGGGTTCCCGATGGGCTGGTGCCTCCTGCAGTGGACTGGGAGCAGCAGGGGGGAGTTACTCCTGTTTCCCTGCCTGACATCCACTCTCTGCCTTTGAATAGGAGCTTTTTGCTGCTCCTGGGGATTGGGTGGGTCCAGAGTGAGGGGGAAGCTTTCCCTGTCTCGTGTAAAACTTGTGTTATGCTGCACTTAGGGTCTCTTCGACTCTTCCCTGGGGGGACCGTGGCAGTGCTTTACAAAGTGCTTAATGGGCTCTGCCATTAAGGCCCTCCTGAACCCAACTGTGCTTGTTCCCGGTCGCAGCTGAAAGGTCCAAGGTAGCTCCTGAGGCTTTCTGTGCCTCTGAGGCGGGGACAAGCACCCCAGAGAGCGTGGGGACAGGCGGGAAGGACTGGCCCTCGGAGATGCCTCTCTCCTCGCTGGCTGGAGGCTGCCCGGGTGCTGGACATGGCAGATGTCTTCCGTAAGCGTTTGGGATGGGCTGGGAGAGACAGGAGCAGCAGCGCAGGACTGCGGGTGAGTGATGGCACGGCCTCAGGTGGCTGTGCAGTGCAGTAACAGCGGCTTCTCTGTCTCTCTCAGAGCCCCTCTGTTCTCGATGCGATGTGCACAGAAGATGCAGACTGTCCCATGGGAAACCCAGTGGTTCATGGCAACGGTACTGGGTGTTTTGCTAAAAAAACCCATAAAATCATTAATTCCTCATGTTTGGTAGCAAAAAGATCCACAGAGGTGCCTGATTGCCCGAGTTCAGTGCTTTTTCTAAGTGCACATGGAAGTGCTCTCCAGCCGTTTATTCTTGACAAAACCTCACAGCGACGTGTCACAGCTGGAGAGGGAGGTGCTGTGGGCACAAGGCGTTGTCACAGCAAATACCGGGGTGCTTTGTTTCTGATGTTGGTTGCTGGAATTGAAACCTCTGTGCTGTGTGATTGGCAGGTTTTCCTTTTGCAATAAAACCTGGCTTTTATTTCATGCCAATTAATATTAGTAGCCCATGTGAGTTCAGCCGGAGAAGGATATTTCAGCTCTAGGAGGTCACTTGCTGAAGCTTTGCACGTGGGGTTGCCCCAGCTCGTTGTGGTTCCACTGGGGGTGCGGGTGGCTTCAGCAGCGATGGGGCTGGAGAGGCAGGCGCTGACAGCGGCAAGCAGCTTCTTGACTGTGTAAAACAGCTCCCATCAGTCGGCCTCGAGGGGAGGTTTTACAGGGAACTTTTTGGGTGGGGAAGACACTGAAGGTGATCCCAGGGTCGTCTTTGTGGCTCAGGTTTTGAGAAGGCCAGAACAAGCCTGTGGCCAGGGCACTATCCCAGGAGGGGAGCTGCAGAGAAGACGTTTTGAAATGGAATTGTAAATTGTATGTATTGTCTCATTTCTAGGGATAAAAACTGGGAAATGCGTCATGTTCAACGCCACCCATTCCACCTGTGAGATCTATGGCTGGTGTCCTGTGGAGAACAACACCCTGCCCAGGTGAGGGGCAGCAGGCATTGAGAGCTTTGGTTCCTTCCCTCTGCACTCTGTGTAGGCAGGGGCCTGATCATACCTGTCTGGGGGACAGCCAGCTCGGAGAGATCTTTAGTGTTGATCTACCGGTCAGTTAAGCCCAGAGAACTTCATGCGAGAGCATTTCTTGCAACTGTCCATTGTAGCCAAAGTCCTGGGATGGTGGAAGAGACTGCAGAGTGAGGGCAATGGGGATGTGCCCTGGCCACTGTGCAAAATTTGAGTTCATTGGTGGTTGTTTTCCAGGAAACCCCTTCTGGCTGAGGCGGAGAATTTCACTCTTTTTATAAAAAATACTGTCCACTTCACCAAATTTAACTTCTCCAAGTAAGTATGACGCTCCTCCAGCCGGGCTGTGGGTGCAGCCTAATCCAGCCCCTGCGCTGAGCTTGTCTGCCTAGGGGCTGAGCAGCCGAGGTGTCCATGAAGCCATGAGCCATCCCAGATGGGCGGTGACTCAGGCAGTTACGGGTCAGGGTGTAGTGTTCAGGAGAACACTGGTTGCTTCAGTGGCACCAGTGTTTGCAGATGGGGGAAAGAGGGGCTGGTGTCCATCTGCCTGTCTAACGCACTGCAGAGCCAGTCAAGGCTCATCATTCCCAAGGTCTCCTTTTACCCTATAAATTTTGGTGGTTTAGTCCCTGCAGAATGGTTTCACAGAGGGCTGCGCTGGCCTTGCAGCCCCAGGCATGCTGACCTCGGCAGGAGATGTGGCCTGGGGCAGCTGAGCTGCCCCTGCTGTGAGCCCTAGAGCACTGACTCAATCATGGCATCTCAGCAGCGCCGCGGGAGAAAGGAGAAGCACAAAAGCAGAGGTGGGCGACAGGGCTGGGAGGGGAAGGACCGTGGCAGCTGCTGTAAAGGATGCAAACTCTATGTGCGATTCCTCTGGGCCCATTCTCCCCCTACACCCTCTCCAGCTGAGGCTTTGGGAGAGGCAGTGACTGTCTCCCCCTGAGGCAGGAGCTGCTCGGGTGGGAGGGTCTCCTTTTCAGTCCTGCAGCAGGGCTCCCTGTCCTCCCACACCCCACTCCACCAGTGACAGCTCCCCTTCTCCCCTGTCTCAGGTGCAATACTTTGCAAACCAATGACCCCACCTATTTCAAGAGCTGCACATATGATCCATTCTTCAACCCCTTCTGCCCTGTCTTCCGTGTCCGTGACATGGTGGAGGCAGCTGGAGAGACCTTTGGAGACCTCGCACTGCTGGTACTTGTGGTTTGGGTTTTTTTTTAAAGTATGGAAGATGACTCCAAATTCCCCAAGGATGTGGGCAAGGGGTGGGGGACAGGACTGACCCCTGAAATGTTAAGGGAATGTGTGATCTGTGAACGTCTGAACAGCAAAGAACTCGGCACATCTCTGATCCCGTGCTTCTCCTGGAATAAAATGTGTTTTGCAGGGGGGGAGCATCGGAGTTCGCATTGAGTGGGACTGCGACCTGGATCACCCCGCTGCCCGGTGCCGGCCACAGTACTCCTTCAGCCTGCAGGACAGGAGGTACAATTTCAGGTGAGGGTGCTGGGGCAGTGGCCACACGGGTCTGTGCGCTGAGCACACAGCAATCATTTGAGATCTCAGTTTTCCTGATTAGAGCTCCGGAAGGAGCAGCAACTGACGATGGGATGTGGTACCTCAGCACAGGGTCTGTCAGTACCGGGGTGCTGTGGTCGTTCCCATGCCTTGTCACTCTGCTCTGTTTGGAGCTGTGCAAGGCATTGCCTGCCTGAGAGCAGGAACAAGTGGCTGTCCACGCCCCTGCTGACCCTGAACTGGACACACTGGGAGCTGCGTGCTCGCAGTGATGCCGGGCTGGGTGCTGAGCAGATGCTGATGCCCCGCTGCTGATGCCAAGCTAGTGAGTCACAGCAGCACATGCATCGCCTGCGTCCCAGCCTGCTGGAGGTGGCAAGGTGTGCACAGGCACAGGGTAGCCCCAGCAGTCGTTTGGTGCTGGCAGCCCTCTTCCCTCACTGCCTGCACAGAGCTGCCACAGCTTTCTGAGCTGTGTCCAATGTGTCCCACAGAACTGCCTCCTACTACTGGGATTCCCAGCAGCTGCTCTACAGGAATCTGCTGAAGCTCTACGGCATCCGCTTTGACATCTCTGTGCACGGCCAGGTACCATCTCCTCTGAGGACTCTGCATGCGCTGTCTTGGCGGCCCTGTCACCAGGGCTGACTCCTCGCACCATGCCCTGCTGCTCTCTCCTGCAGCCAGCCCTGTGGCTTCCCACTGGCGTCGCTTCCCCCCACCATGGTGAGATCTTCGCCTCTTTCCAGAGTTTTCCAAACAGAGCAGGAAAAAATGGTTATCACCCTCTACAACTACCTGAAAGGAGGCTGTAGCAAGGTGGGGGTTGGCCTCTTCTCCCAGTGAACGGGCAATGGGATGAGGGGAAGTGGCCTCAAGTTGTGCCAGGGCAGGGTTAGGTTGGACATTGGGAAAAATTCCTTCCCCACAAGGGCTGTCAGGCACTGGAAGGGGCTGCCCAGGGAAGGGGTTGAGTCCCCACCCCTGGGGGGATTTAACAGCCGGGCAGAGGAGGTGCTGAGGGCCAGGGTTTAGTGGTGGGATGGCAGGGGTAGGGTAATGGTTGGGCTTGGTGAGCTTAAAGGGCTTTTCCAAACTAAAGGATTCTGTGATTCTATGATTTGAAGAGAAACTTCCTGGTAATGCCCTGAGCAGGGAGGCTTCCTCACTGAGGATCTCACATGGGTGTCAGGTGGGCCCTGTAGGGCAAGGTGAGCTTGTCTGGGCACAGAGCCTGTGAGCATCTCCAAGAGTCTCGTGGTGGCAGCACCCTGGCAAAGATCAATCTGAACTTCTCTGAACCTGGACAATAAATCCCTCAGGGAGAAAAAGCATGGGCTTGATCATGGCTGATGCTACTCTGTGCAGCATCACTGACAAGCTCAATACACAACTGTGCAAGATGGAGCCTGTGCTGAGAGGACTTGCCACCCCGAGAGATGTCCACAGTTGCTCTGTTGTGCTTAGCAGTGGCTTTTTCACCTGAAGAGGGCCAAGCACGCAGTGCAGGACGGGGTGCACCACTTCTGGGTAGTGAGACCAGGTCTGGGAGGTGTGGAGCAGGAGAGAAAAGCCAGGAGAGAGACAGGAACCCAGAAATCCCTTTCCTCAAGAGATGCCAGGCTCATTTGAGCACACATCACCTCAGGGCCGTGTTTGCTGTTCACTGGGATGTAGTTCTGTGGGTGGCAACTGCTGGGGTCCTGCAGCCAGAGGGAGGCTCCCACCCTGCCTGCAGGCATAGGGGGGCCTCAGTAACCTCTGCTGCCACCGAGTCACGGGCTGCCTCAATCCGTTCTTCGTTTCGAGTCAAGGCAATAGCAGTCAGGTTCCCACAGCTGGGCACGGACAAATGACCCCGGTTTCCTCCAGCACCTCCCCAGCTTTAAGCACGCTGCCCGGCGGGGCTGGTCCTACAGCCCTCTCACCACTCTCCACCCACTCTCTTCCCCCTCCACCCACTGTTTCTCACCAGGCTGGGAAGTTCAGCATAATTCCTACTGCCGTGAGCTTTGGCACCAGCATCGCGTTCTTTGGTGCTGTGAGTACTCCAGACATGCTCTTTTCCTCGGATCCATGGGTTGGGATTTGCCCCTCCTCTGTTGTTTCCCCTGCCTGCCGGGGTGCATGGCTTCCTGGGCGCCTGCTGTCCTGGGAGGGGAGATCGGCAGGGTGCTAGCTCCCCTTTTCCTGTTTGTGATCATTAGCAGCAATGACACTGCTGGATCGGGGGTCCCGAGCAGTGTCAGGGGCATGTCTCATGAGGGCTGGGTGTTTGTGTTGGCCCTGGGAAGGTGCATTGCTGAGGCATTGCTGGCTGGTCTGCCCCAGCTGCCTTGGCCAGCAGGAGAGCACCTCCTCTCTCTGTTTCTCCTCTGACTCTAAAGGGACTCAGTGTCCAGCTCCAGCACGGGCGTGGTGCTGCGGCCATCAAGGTGGGGCAGCCCCTTGCAGGGCACTTCTGTGGCTCTTCCCTTTCAGCAGGGTAACGGGGATCCTGGGCTTCCCCACCTGCCCCCTCTTTCCTCCCAGACATGCTCATCCCAGTCCCTTAGGTGGCTGTGACGGCAGCTTTCTGCTGGCCCAGCCCTCATCCAGCATCCCTGCATTGCAGCCCAGATGATCGTGCCTAACCTGGGAGCTGGTTGAGCCAGAGGGGACCTGCTGGAGCCACTGGGCTGGCTGGGCTGGAGGCAGGTCGGGCTCGCTGCCCCCGGT